GCTGAGTTGGCGGCATGTAAACAAGGTGGATCCAGTGTGATGGACTACTTTGGTCGCCTTGTTTTGAAGTGGGAGGAACTTCTGAATTATAAGCCTCTTCCCACTTGTACATGTGGAGCTTCAGACAAGTTTGTAGCCGAGTATGAAGAGGAGAAAGTGCACATTTTTTTGATGGGTCTAGACGATTCGCGCTTCGGGAATGTGTGTACCAACATCATAGGAATGGAGCCTCTGCCTGATCTCAATTCAGTCTATCAAAGGGTGATTAGAGAAGAACGACGGTTGCTGACTTCTAGAGCGGAGAACAAGCAAGATGCGGTGGGGTTCGTAACCAAGGCTGAAGGTAACGAAAGCGAGAATCCAAGTATGAGTGGGCTGATTGCTGCTGTAGCGCGTAGCCGTGGAGGACCAGTGACATGTTCTCACTGTAACAGAACAGGACACGAGAAGAAAGATTGTTGGCAACTCATCGGGTTTCCCGATTGGTGGACTGAGAGAAACCAATCAAGCGATCGAGGTGGCCGCAGCAAAGGAAGAGGACGCGGTCGCAGTCAACAACCACGTTCTAACGTAGCTCAAGCAGCGTATGGATCAGGAGCTCCAGGGCTTACGTCTGAGCAATGGGCCTCTCTATCAGCGTTACTCGAGCAACAAAAGCCTGCCCCAATACCTGACAAGCTGAACGGTAAGCAACAAACTGGTGAGGTGATTCTTGATACTGGTGCATCTCACCATATGACTGGTGAACTGAGATTGCTGTCTAACACAACGGACATAGTTTCTTGTCCCGTAAGCTTCGCAGATGGCAGTCAAGTAAAGGCTTCAAAGAGTGGTTGTCTTAAATTGTCTGATAGAATCACTCTGACTAACGTGCTTTACGTACCAAATTTGAATTGCACGTTGTTGTCGGTTGCTAAGTTGTTGAAACAAACTGGTTGCTTGGCGGTTTTCACTGACACGCTTTGTATATTGCAGGACCGTTTTACGAGGACCCTGATTGGAGCCGGTGAACAACGGGATGGAGTTTATGTTTATCGGGATGTCACTATGGCACGAGGGTACAGAGTTAAGGCGTCAGAAGACAAGACTCTGTGGCATCGAAGATTAGGACATCCGGCTTTTGGTGTTCTAGGAAATTTGCCTTTTATTTCTGGTGTTTTAGAAAATAAAGAGAAATTTGGTGGTTGTGATATTTGTTTCAAATCCAAACAAACTCGTGGGGTGTTTTGCGAGAGTTCTAATAAAGCTTCAGTTGCATTTGAGTTAATTCATGTAGACTTATGGGGTCCTTATCGTGAGGTCTCTTCTTGTGGAGCTGTTTACTTTCTCACAATCGTTGATGATTATTCCAGAGCGGTCTGGATACACCTGCTCCTTGAAAAAACAGAAGTAAAAACGGTACTACCCAATTTCTGCACATTGGTTCAACGACAATTCGGAAAACCTGTACAGAAAGTCAGAAGCGACAATGGCACTGAGTTCATGTGCTTATCTCGGTACTTCTCAGACAATGGCATCATACACCAGACGTCGTGCGTAGCCACACCTCAGCAGAACGGGAGAGTGGAGAGAAAACACCGACACATACTGAATGTAGCCAGATCACTGATGTTTCAGGCAAATCTCCCCATCAAGTTCTGGGGTGAAAGCGTTCTTGCCGCAGCCCATGTGATAAACAGGACACCGTCGAGCTTGCTTCATGGGAAGACACCATATGAGTATCTCTACGGGAAACCACCCTTGTACGAAGACATCAAAGTCTTTGGCTGCCTATGCTTCGCGCACAAGGCATCTCGAGACAAAGACAAATTCAAGGAGAGAAGCAGAAGATGTCTGTTTGTGGGATACCCATTTGGGAAGCGAGGGTGGAAGTTATACGATCTCGAGACGCATGAGTTCTTTGTCTCAAGAGATGTGGTATTTACAGAGACATCGTTTCCGTATCAAGAGGTTGCAGGCGTACCATCCAGTGAGGTTGAAACACCAGTCGTGGACTCAAGGGGGAGACAACAAGTTGAGGAAGATGAGAGTGAAGTATCAGTCGATGATGTAGCTGCAGTCACAGCAGTCGATACGGCTGAGATCAGATGTGAAGAGGAGACTGAAGTTGAGTCCATAGATCCCACAACTAATAAAGAAGCGGAGCAGAATCGTATCGTAGAAAATGCTCAAGAGGAAGAACTTCTAGGGAGAGGACATCGTGTGAGCAAGCCGTCTGTGAGACTGAAAGACTACGTAGCTTACAACTCTCAGTGCCTTCTCGATAAACATGATCCCAGTTCACCTGCAACGAGCCAATTAGGGTCTTCCGTCTCGGTCAAAGGTACATCGTCCTATCCTATAAGCGAATATGTAACTGATGCTGTGTTTTCAGAGAAACACCAAGTATTTCTTGCAGCTATCACTTCGATGAAGGAACCAAAGAACTTCAAAGAAGCGATGTTGGATCCTAAGTTTCGAGAAGCGATGATTACTGAAGTAGTGGCCCTCGAAGGTCAGAGAACTTGGGATGTAACTGACTTGCCCAGAGGGAAGAAGGCGTTGGCGTGTATGTGGATATACAAGTATAAGTTTAATGCAGACGGTTCAGTAGAAAGACCAAAGGCTAGACTCGTGGTGTGCGGAAATAGACAAGTGGAAGGTGTAGACTACGATGAGACTTTTGCACCTGTGGCGATGTTGACAACGGTGCGTACTCTGCTCGAAGTTGCAGCCGCTAAGAACTGGGAAGTGCACCAGATGGACGTGCACAACGCCTTTCTCCACGGAGACTTAGAAGAAGAAGTTTATATGCAGATGCCACCGGGGTTCAGCACCAATGATTCTGGTAAGGTATGTCGTTTGAGAAGATCGTTGTATGGCCTAAAGCAGTCTCCGCGATGTTGGTTTGCAAAGCTGACAAGTGCTTTGAAGAAATTTGGTTTCAAGCAATCGTACTCGGATTACTCTCTCTTCACGTTCATCAAGGGAGACAATTCATTGCGAGTGCTTGTTTACGTGGACGATCTGATAATTGCTGGAAACAACTCGAACATGATGAAGAAGTTCAAATTGTATCTAAGCGATTGTTTCAAAATGAAGGATTTGGGGAAGGCAAAATACTTCCTCGGTATAGAGATTGCGAGGGGACTGCAGGGTATGTTTCTAACACAGAGAAAGTATGCTTTGGACATAGTGGCAGAAGCTGGATTACTTGGAAGTAGACCTGTCTCAACACCTATGGAGCAGAACCATAAACTTCTATCGGATGAAGGATTGATATACAAAGATCCAGCAAGATACAGGCGCTTTGTGGGGAAACTGGTTTATCTTACTATTACCAGGCCGGAGCTGAGCTACGCTGTTCACGTTCTATCACAAGTGATGCACAAGCCGCGTCAGGCTCATTGGGATGCAGTAGTTCGCGTGTTGAAGTATTTAAAAGGATGTCCTGGACAGGGGATCATGTTGAAAGCAGTGAGTGATCTACGCTTACGCGCATTTTGTGACTCAGATTGGGCCGCTTGTCCCAAAACCAGACGGTCTTTGTCATCTTACATAGTGCTGCTTGGTGACTCTCCTATCTCATGGAAGACCAAGAAACAGAGTACAGTCTCACACTCCTCAGCTGAGGCTGAATACAGGTCTATGGCAGTGACGTTACGCGAACTCAAGTGGTTGAAGAGATTACTAAAGGACTTGGGAGTTACTCATAAGGAAGCGATGGATCTGTTCTGTGACAGTAAAGCGGCTCTGTATATCGCAGCCAATCCCGTGTTCCACGAAAGAACGAAGCATATTGAAGCTGACTGTCACAGTGTAAGAGATGCAGTCCAGGATGGTTTGATCAAGACACGACATGTACGCACAACAGAGCAACTTGCAGACATTATGACCAAGGCGTTGGGTGCTTCCGCGTTTCACTATCTATTGACCAAGTTGGGTGTTCGTGATCTCCACTCGCCAACTTGAGGGGGAGTGTTAGAGTTGGTTATATCGGGTTAAGAGTATAGCGATACTTAAGGGACAAGTCATTGTAAGTTGGAGATAAGTATGGAGTAGATATGGGATGAGTTCAGATCTTTTGTAATCTAGTATGTTGAGATACTCTTGTACGAGTATATATTTGTAACCTCACGTATCAATGAAAACAACACAGACTTTCTCAACTATCTCTTNTTATATCGGGTTAAGAGTATAGCGATACTTAAGGGACAAGTCATTGTAAGTTGGAGATAAGTATGGAGTAGATATGGGATGAGTTCAGATCTTTTGTAATCTAGTATGTTGAGATACTCTTGTACGAGTATATATTTGTAACCTCACGTATCAATGAAAACAACACAGACTTTCTCAACTATCTCTTCCTAAGTTTACAGCCAAGAAGAAGTACACTCTCATCCGTGAAATCTAAGGAACTTGACTTGACTTTTACACCACGGCTTCTGTGCTACTTCCATATTCTCCAAAGTCTAACTTGGTAATGTTTTAAAAAGGTATCAAAAGCTATAAGAGAAGCTGGTCTTCGATCATCCAATCTCATTCTCGACTTGTCTTCCTTGATGAAGTTTTCTCCACAAAGCCTGATTTGTCTTCTTCTTCTTCGAGTCTTCTCCATCACTTCAATAAGTCTCATGAAGGTTCTGATTTGTCGCTCTCTTTCCTTTGTGAATGATTATTTGGTTAATTCTAATGATTTGTGTTTGTATCTGTTGATCCTTGATGTTACCCCATGATTATAATATAAAAAATTGGGAATGATCTATTCAAAGACCGTGTTTCAAAAAAAGATCTATTCAAAGATCCAATTAGGTTATACTCTTTACTTATTCGTTTCTAATTTCCGAACTTATTTTTTTCGGATTTGAGCTGAGTTCTGCAGATTCATGTGTAGTACAATGATTAGATCTGATAGTATATCTGTACAAATCTCAATCGAATTCTATCTTCTTATCTCATGCTCAGCTTTTCTGAAAAGTTTATGAATCTGTGTTTGATCTTGTGGACTGTGAAAGCTTTGAATGAAATCAAAGCTTCTCTGGGATGGAGAGTGGTGTATTAATGGGTTGGTGACGATCCTTGTGGAGATGAAGACCTTCCTCCTTGGTCTGCTGTCACATGTTCTACACAGGGAGACTATAGGGTTGTCACTGAAATGTAAGTTACTTTAAAAATGTTTTCTTCTCTATATCAACGTGATTTGATTTACTGAACTGTTTGCTTTTGATCTTTCTGATTCGCAGAGAAGTTTACGCGGTTTCGAATGTTGGACCATTTGCCATTGCAGTAACAAACCTTCTGGATCTGACTAGGCTGTAAGTTGCTCCGTAGCACCTCTTTTATTATGTGTGACATTCAGTAGGTTTACGCTTAAGAAGCAGCTTTACGCTTTAGGTACTGTCTCAAACTCGATCTTAAAACATTTTCACTGTTTACAATTCTCGATTTACTTAGGTTTCTGTGTGTTTTGTCTGAGCAGGAGGAACATGTGGAGTAGGGTTTACACCTCATGTAATTGAGGTCAAAACTGGAGAGGTAATGTGTCTTCTTAGGTAGTAAATCTTTAATCTTATGTCGGAAATTGCTTTGTCTTTTGATGTGTTTCCTTCCTTTTGGTTAAACATGTGTCAGGACATAGCTATGAAGGTAGTGGCGTTCACGCAACAGGGTCCACGCGCGATCTGTATTCTCTCAGCTACCGGGGCCGTGTCTACTGTGATGTTTCGTCAAGCTAACTATCCTAATGGAGTTGTTAAGTATGAGCTTTAGTGTCTTTGTGATTGTCTGTGTATTGAGCTCTTCTTTGTCCATATGAGATCATTTCAATGTCAGGCTCTTTCTTGAATACTGAGAGTAATGGAAATGTGACCAAAACTGGTAGCTTAAGTGTATCTCTGTCTAGACCAGATGGTCAGGTTGTGGGTGGTTGTGTTACTGGAATGCTTGTAGCTGGATTACAAGTCTAACTTGATTTCACTAAGAGCAACGACCCATGACGAGGAAGTGTTCAGTTTCCACAGCGACAACTCTCCATGCCAGGGCTTTGAAGATGTCTTATCATGTTACAGAAGAATCACACCTAACTTGCTTTTATCAGGTTTTTTTTCTAATTTCTTACCTTCATTACCAAACCACAAGCTTCTGAATAAGCTATTTGTTTCAAAAGGGCCAACGTCTCATGTACCGCTCATCGATGCTGAAGTAGACATTGTTGAAAAAAACAACCGACAGTTTCGTGTTCTGGTGATTGTCGCTGATGGACAGGTAAAGTTTCAACCTTTTTAAAAAGAAAACAAAACAGAGTATAAACACTAAATTACAAAGCCATAATCTGGTTTTGAAGGTAACGAGAGGTTTTAATACGTCTGATGGAGACCTCAGTAAACAAGAGAGAACAACTATCAACGCCATTGTTAACGCTAGGTGAAGCGAACGTCAGAGACCAAGGACAAACGCAATCCCTGAGGCTACTCCCATGAGAAGAGCGTGTTGGAGGCTGAGTGCCGATGCAACCAGAACACTCCCCCAAGTAATGGCCTAGGCCAAAGAGAAGTGAAACAAAGAAGCCAGAAGCATTCTCTAAGCTGCAGGTTGGTGAAAATGAAGCCTTTAGTTCTTGAGATCGCCATATGCTAATGCCTCATGTCCTACCTGATATATTTATAGTCAATATACATAATATTTTTTTGTATTAATTAGAGTGTGTCGGTTCAAAATATATATATCTACTCTATTAAAATAGACTCTTTATTTTTATCTACCGATACAAGTTGTCATTTAAATTTGGACTCTTTTTAGAATGTTACAAATAATATAAGTTATATAATTGATTGAACTGTATTACTTAAATTAAATCAACACAATGTAAATAGACGATCTTAATGTAAACTACCTTCAAAATATGGCAGGTATCTATGTGTATACCGAAAACACATATTTTCTCCTACAAATATGAAATGTTCTAAAAGAATATATATCATCAAAATATGGAATATGGAAATCTACTAATTGTACTTAAATTAAACCAGTGAATGGAATTCTTGGGATTACTTTTATTTTTTGAACAAATTATATAGTTTGGTTTTTGGGCTTAGTATTAAGAAAAAAACTCTAAAAACATTGAATAAACTTTTCACCTTAAAAGATCAAAAAATAAATGGGAAAATTGTCATTTAAATCACAAACTTTCAAATTTGGTTGAAATAAAGCACCAACTTTCTCATAAGCCAAAAAAATACTCAACTTTTATTAACAAGCCATTTTAATCACAAACTTTCGTCGACCATACCAATTTAGGCATATCGTTAGTCAACAGTTATAGTTGACTAACGGTAGGCCTAAAATGGCTTTCGAAGTTNATTTAAATCACAAACTTTCAAATTTGGTTGAAATAAAGCACCAACTTTCTCATAAGCCAAAAAAATACTCAACTTTTATTAACAAGCCATTTTAATCACAAACTTTCGTCGACCATACCAATTTAGGCATATCGTTAGTCAACAGTTATAGTTGACTAACGGTAGGCCTAAAATGGCTTTCGAAGTTGATGTTTTTTTTTGGCACAAATATAAATCAATATTTTTTGTACAATATTGGATATATTTTTAATATTGAAAATATTTTTATAACAGAAGCACTAACAAATAAAACTATAAATAAAAATTCTAGAAAAAAATATAAATAAAACTCAATGTAAAATAATTAGTTAACATACATTAATTAAGTATCTTAGTTATAAAATGATAAGAATATTTTAATTATTTACAATTAATTTTTACAAGAGGTTTTCTGCATCTAAAAAAAAATAAGTTTCACCAAAATAGATAACTTTTTTTGTTATCCGGTAACTCATTTTGTTTAAAAAATCAAGAATTGAAATAATATTTTACTAACAAATTTTTGACAGTAAAATTATAAAACATAATCCGTGTAGGATGATACAAATATTTTTTAAAAATTAATCATAAATAATTTAAAAATCATAATCATTTTTTAACTAAAATACCCAATTAAGGATATGTTAATTAATAATTTTACATTGAGTTATTTTTATATTTTTGAATGGAATTTATTTTTTATTTACAATTTTATTTATTAGTGTTATAGTTATTAACAGTTTCTATATTTAAAAGCTAAAATATTGAAAAATTGTTGATTTATATTTGTGCCAAAAAAAACACCAACTTTAAAAGCCATTTTAGGCCTACCGTTAGTCAACTATAACTGTTGACTAACGATATGCCTAAATTGGTATGGTCGACGAAAGTTTGTGACTAAAATGGCTTGTCAATTAAAGTTGAGTGTTTTTTTGGCTTATGAGAAAGTTGGTGTTTTATTTCAACCAAATTTGAAAGTTGGTGATTTAAATGACAATTTTCCCAAAAATAAATTATTATTTTTAGACCCAAAAAATATTTAATATTTTTAACAAAACAAAATTATCTATTATTAATCATTTATTTAAATCATATACTATAAAACATGTTAATATATTTTTTTATTTTAAATAACAATCACTTTGTTTTGATAAATTTCAATGGTAACTTTTAAATAATTTCTTGTTTTATTTTTCTTAAATAATTTACTGATTAAAAAAATGTAAAGCAAAACCAAAAATCAAATCTAAAAACTAAAATCCAAAACCAAAAGCTGAAAACACATGTTATATTTTTTTGCTTTGTTTATTTACAAAATAAACTATTTCAAATTCTTTTTTAAATTTGTTGTCATCTTTTCAGTTTTGAATTAGATGTTCGATTATTTGAGATTTGTTTGTTGGTAATATTAGTTCCAACTAACTCAGCGGGTTTAAAAATTAAAAACCCAAACCAAAAACTGAAAATGAAAAGTAGAAACTTAAAAACTAAAAACCAAAAACCAAAATCTAAAAATAAAAACAAGGGAAAAGGCGATGGCGTTTGTGATTTTTTGGATCTGCTAATGGAGGTTTCCGATCTGGTTGTGGGTGGATCCTCTTGGGTTGTGGGTGAATCCTCTCATCATGGATTGGGAGTGACGGTTATTGGTTTTTCTGGGTTTTTTGGTATAATCACGAGTTTCAGGGATCTTGAGTTCGGAGATGGTATCGATCGTTCCCAACAATACAGAACTATCAGAGCTGTTCAGGATCTTTCTCAATGGCATTGGGAAGGACAGGATATGCTAATTTGGGGTTTCTTTGGATTTCAATTAGATGATGCTATTGTACATTTTGATATCTGGTTTGTGGTATTCTGGAATTTTGAATTATGGCCTTTTTTTGCTTTAATATGGTTTTCTAAGTATTCTCAATGGAATTATGGTTTTGACTGTACAGATCCTGATTATAATTCTCATTATTGGGGTCTGGAGAAGTTGTATTTGAGAAAGACCAGACAAAATAGGCCTTACAATGACTTTTTATGGTTCCGCAGTTATTACCGTGGACAACTCTGTTTTGTTTTTGCAGGATTTGATAACAATTATCTTTGGTTGCGAATGCTGAAATTGTTTTTCCACGTGATAGTTTCGCTAAGAGGGGAAAAGATCCTTTTTGGTTGTTGTTTCACAGTGGTTATGGAGGAGTACTTGTTGGTTGATCTTGGTCCTTTTGGTGATGCTCAAGAATCAGGTGCTGGTGTTTGGATACTCCAAGACTTTGGTTTCCAGGTTTATCTTCATGATGTTTTCCTTTACGGACATATTAAGGACATAACATATTATAATGGTTTTACGTGCTGTTGGTGCTGGTGTCTATTAGTGTTGCTTGTCATAAATGGCTTTGGTTCTTGTTCTAGGTCATATGAGAAATCTGTGATGGCTTGGAGTGTTTCTGAGGTTAAGAGGATATTGGGTTTTGATGATGTTTCTGTGGTTTATGGTTATTATTTCGAGCGATGGTTTGTAGAGATCTTATGGTTGTGGTGGAGCTCTTTAAACCAAACACAGAGAGTGATGTATTTCATTTCTTCTCATTGGGACTGGCAATTTCTTTTGGTTACTTCGTTGGGGTTTGTCTCGTGTTCCAGGAGCTGGATGATTCGTTATTGTCTATCAAGCTTAAAAGAAAATAGAAAGAGGAAACAGTGTTCTGGTTCAAATAATGAAACTATGGTTTTTTTTGATGAACTAATAGGTGTCTTCCGGTTGTGTGATCTATTATGGCTTACGGTTATTTCAAAAAATTCCATTATAGGTTACATGGGTTTGTCTCCACAAAGTCTCAATGGAGGACAATTTGTACGGTATTTCCTTGGGTTTTGTTTAGAATTTATAGATTTAATGATCGGAATATCATTATCTATTAACTCGGGCTCTAAAGAGCTTTTTTAACAAAATATTTAATGAGTATTTTGAGTTGGAATTGTCGGGGGGCGGGAGGTTCTGACACCGTTCAACGATTAAGAGATTTACGACGTCAGCTTTTTCCAGATTTTCTTTTTCTTATGGAGACTAAACAAAATTTTGCATATATGGATGCTTTAAAATCTAGTTTGGGGTATGATCGGATACACACTGTGGAACCCGCTGGACGCAGCGGTGGTTTAGCTTTAATGTGGAAAAGCTGTTATACAGTTGAAATCCTCTCTAGTAATAATAGGATCATTGATCTTAAGGTCACAATGGGGTCCCTTGTTTTTTACCTTTCATGTGTATATGGGGACCCAGTAAGAAGTAGAAGACGGTTTGTCTGGGATAATTTAACGGACATTGGAGTGGTTAGAGATGAGGCATGGGTCTTGATTGGTGACTTTAATGAACTTATGCATAATGGAGAAAAATTGGGAGGAGCTATTAGAGAGGAAACCACGTTTTTTGATTTCCGGAATATGGCTGAAGCATGTAAAATTAGGGAAACGAGGACCACGGGAAATACCCTTTCATGGGCGGGTATGCGGGATCATAATTGGGTTCAATGTCATTTAGATAGGACTTTTGGCAATGAGGAATGGTTTCGCCTTTTTCCACAGTCGTCTACGGCCTATATGAGTATGTGGCCGTCGGACCATCGACCCTTACGGTTAGATTTCGCCCTTGAACCGGAGAATTTGCAAAGGGGGCGTTTTTATTTTGATAGACGTATGCATGGTAAAAGAGGGGTAGAGGAAGCCATTGTACGTGGATGGGACGCTGAAAATATTGACTTAAATCTTAGCGTATTGGATCGAATAGCTCGGTGCAGGTCAGAATTATCTAAGCTTAAAAAGACTTCGGATTGGAATTCCAAAACGAGAATAGAACGGTTACAGAGAGATTTGGATAGAGAAAGCTCCAAGTAATTCCCAATTTATGGTTTGCTCAGGCGTTTGAGAAATGACTTGGCTACGGCCTATAGGGAAGAGGAAATCTTTTGGAGGCAAAAGAGTAGAGAAGAATGGTTAAGGGATGGAGATCGAAATACAACATATTTCCATAATGTGGTGAAAGGGAAAAAATGAGAAATAAAAT